ATCAAGGGCTTTGCAGCTACCCCTGTAGGACCCCAAAAGCGGTGTCCTCTTGTGACGACCCCAGAAACACAGACTCCGGACCAGACGATGCAATAGAACAGGAGGTAATTTATTTCATTTGTACAAATGGGCCCCCTACTGCTGCAAGCAGCAAGCAAGTGAGAGGAGCCCCGAGCAGCTATCTTACACAGCTTTTAAAGGGCAAAACCACAAAATTAACATATTATAGGCTGGCGTAAGTTCATTGGATAATTTTCAGTAGCGGGCCTTGTATGGCAGTCTGAAGTGCTAATGTCGGTGGAAAAGTACTAGGTCAAAGGGATACATTAGAGGGAGGGGGTTTTTAGGAGACAGGAATAGGTTGCTACGGGCCTTGCAGCTTTCTTTGTTAACCTTGAGCAAGCGTAGGGAAGGGGCTTATCTACAAGGCAGGTGTTCTGTGTATCTCTGGTTAGTAGCTGACTGCTTTCTCTGTGAACCGGTTTACTCCCCATTTCCCAAGGCCGTCTCTGGAACGGTTTGTCTCAGGAGCCCCATTTTTTTTTTTTTTTTATGGTGGCTCTTGGCTCCTTTCATTCCCCCATTTTCTCTTTGAACTAATTTTAATCCTAAAATTGTGTGCCGTTAATGAGGGGTTTCAATACGGTCACTGGTGGCCAGGGCTTGATACTGTTGCGTGAGGACTAATGCCAATGATCAGCAAGCCAGGCCTTAGCATGTGGGCCCATGGCCAGCCATGGGTTTTTATATATATATATTTTTTTTTATTAAATTGAGAATGGCCTCTGTCTTAGGTTGCCCTCAGTCATCTCTGTCCTTACCCGTCATCGGTAACTCTGGCAGCTTGGCCTAGAGCCCTGTCTTAGGTTGGTACAGGATGCTGAGCGTCTTACCCGTCTTTGAGTACCATTCCAGCCCAACATTAGGTGAGAGATGAAACATACAGCCAAATATCAATTATTTTGATTACAAAGGAGGCTTGGTACGAAGTTTTAAATGATGAATTTCAGTCTATTCATACTATAGGGAAGTCAGCATAAAATGCAGAACACACGGAAGACATCCCATACAAAGTGGGAAAAGCAGTAGCAGTCCAGCCAACATTAATAACCAATGAATCCATTGAAACCCTTCAAATGAATAGTGGGTTAGTAATAAACATATGTTGTATTTTACTCTTATCAATAACAGACTCTATATATGGCACATTGTTAGTAATGTTAAAGTAATATCCCCCAGGTACAGGTTTACAACTTAAATGATCTTTTTAACAGCAAGTAATTGTTAGCTGCATGGCTTAAAAGCACTCCTGAGTGAACTTGATCCAATTCTTTGGCTATATTGGATAGCACAGTAGCAGTAAGATTGATTGCTTTGGTCACCAAACATGTAAGCCTTTATAGTCCACGATTATTTCCAAAAGCCAGTCCAGGAACACTTACTACTGATGCAGCCATGGCAAGGGCAGTGTCCTCTCCTATTAGGATGACGTTGTTATTGTAGTCTTCAGGTAAAGCACGCCACTGACGTACTCTATCCGCTGCTGTAAATACAGACCCAGGGAGCAATTGCAGAAGTTATCAGAGGCTAATGATGTAAAGGCATGTTGGTTACATAGAAAAACCCATCCCTTAGGAGCCCTTGTCCCATACCAGTACTGGATCAGGTCCATTCCATTGATTGGTGATAGGATCCCTCCATTTCACCATTGCTCTTTTTACAGCTGTTTTTAAGCAGTTAGAATTCAACAGAGACATCAAGAGAACATAATAGATTACTTTAACTCATTGCTTTAACAGAGGATCAGATTTTGATTTTATGTCAAAGAAAATAACCAAAGATTTCTTCTTCCCATAACATTTTGCGACTTTCTCACACCTTCTGTAACTTGCTCAAACCTTTCTCTTCTCCCACCCTCTTTTTTTTATTCCAGTATAAACCAGCCATTAAGATAAACAATTTTTACAAATCATATCCTTTTAAAAGTATCTCTTTCTTTTAACTTTCCTTATCAAGAACACGCTTTTATGTTTGTGACCTTTTACATCAAAATGATGGTATCTGGGACTGTAGCAGTCAATGGGAGAGTAACTTTGTTTAATTCCCTGTAATCCACAGTCATTTTTCAGGTTTCATCTGATTTCTTAACATGCCAAATTAGATAATTCCTTTTAGTGATTATGGGAATCATCACTCCAGCACTAAGATAATTTTTTTTACTGTTTTAGATATTTCCTCATATCCACCTGGAATTCTGTATTGTTTACACTGAATAACCTTAGTTGGCCCTGGCAGCAGTACAGAAGCTTGATATAATTTTTTTACCACTACCTAGCAGTTTGACTCCAAAGGGCAGCATTTTTTTTTCCCAATTTACATTTATCTTATACTGTTTTTTCCAATTGCTTACACATGCATCAGTATGCAGATAACAAAATCCATTCTCACCTCCCCAAAGCCCATAGTTTATCCCCCTTTTCTACCGGCACTGATAGCAAAACCTCAATAACTTGTGGAGGCTGTGCACTCCGTAACTTGCCATCCCAATTCTCACTCGATTCTGAGCAGAGAGCCCATTCCTTCACCAAAGAGGCGAACTGAAGGTCTTTTCAGCCAGGAACATCACAGGTTACACATGCAACTTCAGTTTTTCTTTTAAAGAAAGGCATTGCTTTGCATACTGCAGATCCTG